CTCTTTTTATCTGCCTTTTACTCTGTACAACAGAAGATTCTGAAAGTATTGCATGTCTGTCCTAGTGACTCCGATCTCACAGGTCACACCATGCTTCAGATGCTTTTGAATAAAATGTGAATAGAAATAATAAACAATAATAATTAAATAATAATAATAATAATAAACAAAAATTACACTGTAGATAACTGCGGCAAACATGCATAAAAAGAACCAAAGAAATTCAAAAATTATAATTTACTTTTAGTTTACGAGATAAAACTTTGCCCACTTTACCAGTAATTGCAGCTCGCGTCATGAAAATTCAAGTCTCCCCCTTCATCGTTTCGCCTCTCCCTGAAGCGGTTCGTGGGAGACGCGAGATTGTGCAGGACCTGCGGTCGCTTCCGATGACATAGGAGGGTCTATGTTATTGCCTTCCGCTGACGTGTGTTAGAGAGAAGTGTCACAGCAGGAGCGGATCCAGCCGATTTTTTCGGAGGTGTATATTTTGTATACATATATTTATGTAAATAATAAATGATTTGTTATTTATATTTTATTATTTAGATATTCACCAGATGACTTCTTTAAAGCAGGATAAACGTCATTTGAGATCAAAAATCAAGTGGATAAAAGAGCTCGTGCGTATCCGCTCATTTTTGCCGGTATTTGACAACGAACATATAAGCAAGGTAGAACAGAAGACCTTTAGTAGTAAAATATATCTAAAATAAGGATGTGAGAAGATGGAATAATGTGATATTTACAGAATTGCGTTCATTTTTTTTAAAAACCAGTTCCATATCAGACACGATATTTGAGTAATGCCTCAAACAATTTTAAGATCGTATTCGAAAGGAAGACGGAAACTATGTGAAAAAGATAAGTAGTATAGCATCTCTAGCTTGATATAGTGGAAAAATAGCATTGAGATTGCAAAGTGACGAAACGCATTAAACCGACTGTCTGGCTTGCGAATCCCGCAAGTCCCTCCTGATCCGCCGGGGCTTAAGCCCACGCCGCCTGGCCTGGCCGTGCCGCCGCGACGCCAGAGGGCCACAACAGTGCGGTGGATGACGCAACGCGCGCAGAAGGGAAGGGGAAGGAGGTGTTTTCGAAAATTTCTCTTTACGACGCTCCTAATTCGTCCATTTGCATGATTGTCACGGCGTTGGATTCAAGAAGCATGTCGCCATCGCGCTATAAGCCCACATTTTTTACTTTGTTCTCGGAAGTTTGAGAACAAATCTCAAATTCGCGGTTTTTTGCTAGATTTTTGGAAAAAAGTCATCGTAGCGTGAATTATATTTATAAAAGGCGTCAAATGCCGTTTACAGATAGAAAATCGAACATTGGTTCAGACTTATCGGTAAGTAAATTTTACTTATTTTGGTGCTGCCACGTGGTGGCTACAAATTGTACTAGTGTCGGGACATTTAGCCTTAAGATCCACACAATGTTGTACGACAAGACCCACCTTCATTATATTCAGGATTCAATATGCCATTGACCCCATTGCACTCCTAGTACCCTTTAAAATTACAACGCATGTGTTCTCGGATGAAGAAACTTGAATTCAGAACATCCGAATGGAAGTAAATTGCACAAAGCCCTCTTCATTAAGATTTAATGTTAAATAATACTAGAGAGGTACTTCACAGTACAAATGTGTGGTTAAAGTCAAGTAATCCAAACATTTGGTACATTTGTAAGCAAGTGAAAAAATGCAATGTATTTAACTGAACTAAAAAGAATCTTCCTATGAATATGATACATTTGATCCACTAACTAGAAATGATAAAACTCTTTAATTAACAAAAATATTTCATGTTTAATGACATTTTTTCTGCAGTACTAATTCACTTTGACCTAACCATTGAATTCACTACGCACTTTACCGACTTTCATTAATACTTTGCCCATTTCTTGTGAAGCTTTTACTAGGTATCCAATGAATTACACTGGCTATTTTTCGGGCAACTGAAACTGTAATATTAGAAGTAGCACTCTTATATAAAGCTTTTTCTATAAAAAATGTACCATTTTGACAGCTAGTTCTAGCAACATAACTGATGATTCTGTGATCGTTGTATCATTGTATTGAACTCTCCTTCCTTCATTCGTTCGCAATTGTCTAACTGTAAATTGCTTCAATGCTACCTTTTGTGACGTCTTCGTCCGACGAAAATATAGTTCGCCACGAGAAATAATTAAAGTTAGGCAGTGCAGTGCTCTTCTGTAAAAAAATGTTTTTATAAACATTACATTGAATTTACTTTTTGTGAGATAAGTATTTTGTTTATTTGAAAACAGAGTACTGAATATCACACGCGTATTGGCGCCCGAGTTTCCTGCTCTTGTGCCGTAAACTGGCGAGCTGTGATCGAGAACGTACCGTGGTTTGAGTTTTATCACTTTATTTTTTTATATAATTACACGGTTGTAAACCATGAGATGCCATGATGTCTTAACGGGAGCCATGCACAACCATAAGCACTTTAGGAAGAGGCGTGGCTGAACAGCTGTCACGGCGGAGAGTACTTCTCTGAATTTCATGTGATGTTCACTTGTTTTAGCCAACTTTCATTTTGGCTCATCCTTAGGCGGATTCTTTAGCAATAATCAAGCTTTAATAAAATCAATTGACAAACACGAAAAGACGGCGAAAATAGCACCACGGAAATAAAGCATGAAATAGCCAAATGATCGATTACCACGCGATAATAGTGTTCCACCTCGAACGTTAGAGAACTGTAGAGTTTGTTCCACCTCGAACGTTAAAGCACTGTCGATCTTCTGTTCATGCGCAGTTCAAAAATCGCACCGTTTAAATGCATCTGCACATGCGTAGAAGGCCGACATTGTTAGCGCAAAGCCTGGCACAAACTCCCTTTGCAGTCGCCCTCTAAATCCGGTGAAATAGCGGGGCCTGGCGGGAGACTAACACTTCGAGTTCGATTTCGAGTTAGCGCACGCGCAGATACTCAAAAATGCAATCGATTGCTTCCCGCTAAGGCTGACACACACTCCTTATTAGGGTCGTCATAGCGTCAGCACAATCGATCTTCTGCGCATACGCAGATGCACTAAAATGGTGCGAAACGGGAAATGCGCAGAAGAGCGATAGTGCTTTAACGTTCGAGGTGGCACAAACTTCCTATTCAGAAAGTGACTTGGTCCTCATCGAGTACTTCATTCTTTCAGCTAGCTTACTAGTCATCTGTTCGGTAATATTAGTTTCTAACGATTCGCGTGGCGTTGCGACTGCAGAGGGATAGTTTTCAAATTGAAAATAATCAAACATTATTTACGAAATTCGATGGGACTGGCGGGCCTTAGTATATTGTCATATTACTCGCGCAACTTTTCTAGAACACTGACCTTGCTTACCCCTCTCTGGCACAAGAAAAAGTTGAATGCAAATGCTCTCAGCGAGCACGGATGACAACATTCCAAACCCATCTTCACTGGCGCGAAATAGAAACAATGTTTCTTTGAAAGCGAGAAATTCAATCCGTTATTTTCTCCAAAAAACTAAATAAATGACCGAAGTAGGTAAAGATTTATCACAGGAGATACCTCGAACTCCTGAGAAAGAACACAAATTATTGAAAACGTTACGAAGGTATAAAATAAATAAATAAATAAATGTCTTTATTGATGGCGAGGCTCAGGCCATTTAGCCTGCTCTTCCGCCTAACCACTTTCAAAAAAATTTAATACAATAGTTAATGAACAATAAAGGTCATTCAAAGAGAAATACGTACGCAATTTGGATGAGGGGTTTTTTCACATTGAAGACAGGAATGTAAGCTAGGGAGGAAGGAGTAGATAGAAAAGGGAATACTCTCACAGCATGGATGAAATAAAATTTATGAGTGAGATGAAATGTATTTATTTTAAGTAAAGGAAGTGTTAAAGTTAATGATAAACATATTAGAAAGATATGAGAATTTATTCAAAATTTACATAAATATTTTCTGACTCAGCAAATTAGGTACAGGAAGGATTGGACGGATCTTGTATAAGACAGTGAAAGGTTATTTAGTACTACTAAATGTTTCACACAGAGGTTTTGAACGAGAATAGAGTACGTACGTATTATTGAATTTCCCCTAAATAAGACTAGAAAGGGGGGAAATATCGTCAGCATACGAACGTTTTCGCTCGTATGCTGACGAGTTCCCTGAGAAAAATGGAAAACGCTGAAAATAACAGTATTTCGTAAGCATAATACTCGTACTTTGTAACAATAATGAAAACAACATTAACAATTCTTGATATTATGAGAATGTTTTGTAAAACTATTTGGTTTTTAATTAAGGAAAGGGGGGGAATAAAAACGATCAATTCATATTGTAGGAAAAATTTTCAATTTAAACCCCGTACTAGAAAGTTAGATATTAATGGAAATTTAGGAACTGTTTACCAATTTGAATATTCCCAAGACCTGAAAACACGACCCAACATCTGCCGTTTAATAGAAAGTCCGCAGGGCTCGATTCTGAAATTTGTGATTGATTATGATTAATAAAGTTTCTATCAATTAGTTTTCTGCATGCATTTTCTGAAATGGTGAATATGTTTTGAGATGGGGGAGGGGGAGGCAATTTAATTTTTGATTCGGGGAAGGCTAGTTATACCACTGTGCCAACAACTCTTAATAAGATGATATAAATGCCACTTTGATACATTCTTTTACATTTACAAACATCACATTTTTTTTATATCTCTCAGAAAAAATGTCAATATTTATATTGCAGGCTTGTGTTAAACATTATTGCATTTATAAGGACAATTCCTTCAAATATTTTTTTATTAAGTTTCTCAAAAACTCAAAAAGTTTTGGATGGAAATGTGCATTATACTGCACATTTTGTAAATTAAAAAAAAACTCTTTTAAGCAGCTGAGAAGAGGGGCCAAACCAAAAGGATAGCACAAGAAAACCAACTAGCACGAGAAAGTAGCACCAAAAGTTAACAGATTTTTCACATCATTGAGGTGGTAGAGTACCTACCTTGAACATAAGAGCTGGAATAAATGGTGCCACTCTCTTCAGAGACGTGCCATTGAAAAGATCTGTATTGACAATTCCTGGATGGACAGAATGAACTTGAACTGGTATTCCAGATTTCTCCAGTAATTTGTTGAGTTTTATAGTAAATAATATTTGAGCAAGCTTGGACTGGGCATAAGCAGCTTGAGGAATATATCCCTTCCTAAAACATTTGATTCCTGCATGAGATACATGTTCACATAACATTTTAAAAATCATGATTATTAGATATAAAAAATTACATCATTGTCAGGTCTTCGAAATTTATCTTCCCTGCCAAGTATGCACAGGAAGATACATTTACAATACGAGAATTCTTTCTGCTGGCTTCAGCCCCCAGCTTCAGATGAGGGAGCAGTAGATGTGTGAGAAAGCAATGGCCCAAATAGTTGACAGCAAAGTGAGATTCCAAAGAGTCTTCAGTTAGTTTAAATGGAACAAACATAATACCAGCTGAAAAAGAAACCCTTTGTCAGTATTTTATGAAGAACATACTTTTTTTGATACTGCTGTTGCTTACTAATATTTAATTCTGATACAATTCACATAGTATGGGCTTAGAATTTAAAAAAAGTATTGTTTATGCATTTTAAAACTTCATTCAGAGATACTATTTACCACAGACTTACTACTACAGATTCCCTGGCAAGCCAGTGCCAAGCAACTCCAATGTTTGAACAAGTTTTGTTAATGAAATTATTTTCTAATTTACAATGATATGTTTATTGGATCCAAAAAAATCTCACTCCTGTTTACAATTGTTTTCTAAATTATACAATGCATTTTGTATCTGCTTTGCAAATGAAGAGATATATACTTCTAAAAGTACCACAATTTTATTTGTTTAGAGGAGAAGATTCCCAAAGTTTTTTCTGTTATGTGATTATAGTTTTGTTACCAAACAAAGGATTCACTAATAGCTACAAAATTAATTATTAAGTCTATGAAGGAAGTATATGAAAAGAGAACATGATATAATGTTTGTAATTTATATTTTTTCATAGTTTAACGAATATTGATTCACCTGCTGGAATTCGCTGCGCGCGGATTGCGTCATCTGCCCTTACCCTTCCCTTCCCCACGAACTGGACGGTTCCGGACTATTCGCGAGTCGCGGGGAAAGGTGGACAATGTGCCGGGTGTATCGAGACGAGCGCCGGCCAGGTGTAAATGCGACGCTGCCGGCGGCCGCGAGTCAGTAAGAAGTTAGTAAGTAGCAGTCAAGTCCGTCAGAAGTCAGCCCGTGTAAGTCAGTGTAAGTCGTAGTGTGTATGTCAGTGAATAAGCAGTCAGTCTGTCAGTGTGTCTGAAGTGGACGCTGTGCTGTAATGTGTGCATTGCGGTGAACAGCAGTCTGAAGTCTGCAGTGGAAGCTGAGCTGTGAAATGTGCATCGCGGTAAACAGCAGTGCAGTGGACCCTGGTGTGCGCAGTGAAGTGTGGTCTACGCAGGAAATTGTGGTCAGCGCAGTTGACCGTGGTCAGTGCAGCGGACTGTGTGATACTGTAGAGCTGATCAGTGTAAATAAATAATCTGAAGACGTGAACTGTGTAAATAAATAATCAAGAGAACGGAGTTGTGTGTAAGAAAAATAATTAAGTGAAGAACCCAAGGACTGTGTAATATAACTGTATATAGATAAAGTAGTTAGTGTAAAATTAGTTACGAATAAACGTTTTTGTGTAAATACATGTGAATTGGTTTTAATTTATCAGGAGAAACGTTACAATATACAATGTAGAGAGAAAGTTATGACATCAGTAAAATTTTTCAAAATTGGAAAGTTTAATGTAAACAAGACAGCCATTTAATTCTGTATACTGTTCTTAATCTGTACAAAAAGTTAGCCATTTAATTCTGTACAAAAATTTGGTGAAATTTTATTTTACTGGACAGGCAAACTACTAAAAGAAGAATTAAGGTAACGATAGGTAACATTGCCACAGGTGAAAACTTGCCACAACTTTAAAAAATGTAAGTAGCCTGGTCTGTATCATACATTTATTTGCTGGCTGTGTTCTCATCTCTTAAAAACATGATATACAACCGTTTGTTGTTTTGGATTACAGATGTAACCTAAAATGTTTATAAGTGTGTGTCGTGTATTGAGACACAGCAAAATCTTGTCTTCAAAACTTCTTTAATTTTGGGCTAATCATGTTGAAATAAATTATATAGATGAATAAATGTCTCATATCCTAGGCATACTATAATATGACTTAATAATTATTAATTATAAACAAGACAATATGTATCAATATCATATGCTACTTTTAGGGTAACATATCCATACTGATCATCTTACCCCTACTTTTATATCCTTTGAAAAGAAGATCTCACACTTTCTACTTATCACATTGTATCACAGAGTAAAACAGTTAATAAAACTTATTTTAGACTAAGTTCTCAAAGCTTTATTTATACCTTTTGTGTATTTAAATAGTCAAAAAACAAAGACAAATAATCATAAAATTTGTTCAGAGGCATACTTGTGTGCTTCTGTTCCCTATTCAACTTTCACACGTTTAAGCATTGCAAGAGACTTGGAAATAAATAGCGGTGGCAATGTTTGACCCCTGTGGGTAACATTGCCAATTTGCTTCCTTAAAACAAATAATAAATAACCTTTCAAATTAAGGAAGCTGTGACTTCAATATTTTGAAGAAATATTATACTTTTGTGATGATTAAATTACCACAATAATTATTGATGATTGATGTAAAAAAGTAGAACTTTAAAAGAAACAAAGATGTGCCAATGTTACTGCCATTACCTTACAGCTTCGAGTTAAGAGAACTGGTTTTGAATATTAATTACAATTAATATCTAAATAATATATACAGTATAAATAACATTATAACTGAAGAAAAATCATTCAATGGACTATATCTCTCTTCAGTAATACATTTAATGTCAGAGTACATGTAAGTAATCAAAACTTTTGCTAACACATCCTCCACACTGTCACAAAACATGATTGTTTAGTCCTACTTACTACCTTAGCCTAATCAATGGAACTTAGCATGCAATTTATTTTAGTATGAAGGTAAGAATAACCAATGTTACTATTTATCATATCATATAAAATCATCTTACCACTGTACTTTCTCTGTGTATATTGTGGGTAGTTTCCATGCAACTCTATTAAACGTAGTGGTGCTACAGAATGGCACAGGCTTTCTCGTACTAGTTAGTTTCAGTATCTCTTCTGCCTGGTGTCTCTCCCTCTCCCCCTCCTCCACCCAATACCATCCATACCTCCCTCTCAAAAAACAAATTGCCATCATCACAGAAACTAAGAAAAAATTGAAAGGGACAAAGAACTGGACGAATACATAATGATTTATAGTGGTGTATGGAAAAATGAAAGGGCGTGGACAGGAATAGCCATCCTTATTCATAAAAGCTGGAAATCAAGAATTGAAAGTTATAATTTTATTAATGAGAGAGTGATATCTTTAAGACTTAAGATTTCCAGAGGCTATCTGACAATATTAGGACTGTATGCCCCAGAAGAAGGCAAAAAGGAGGAAACACAAGATCTATATAAGCTACTGCAAGAACATATTGACAAAACAAATAAAAATGACCATCGTATTGTAGGAGGAGACTTTAATGCGAGAGTAGGTAAAACACCTATATCGGGAATACTCGGACATTTGGAGAAAATACCCTAAACAATAATGGAAATGAACTTATTCATTACGCTAGCAAAAAACAGTTTAAAGATCTCTAACACTTTTTTCAGAAAACGGGATGTAAATAAATATACTTGGTGTGCTGGAGAGGATACAAAACAATAATTGATTATTTCCTAATAAATGAAAAATTAAAATCACATATAAAAGATGTCTAAGTGTATCGGGGATGTGATATAGGCTCTGATCACTTTATGTTAATTAGCAAACTCAATCTCTGGAAAAGATGGAGGACCACAAAACGACAGAAGAACAATTCAGAAGAAGTATACAAAGTATATCTTCTGCACGAAGAAATTATAAAATTGCTGCATCAAACCAGACTGCAGAATTACTTATTAGAAACTCCAACTGAGAATGATATCGAAATATAATGGAATAATGTCCAAAACTGCATTGAAAGGGCAGCAAGAGAAGCAATAGGCAGAAAGAAGAAAATAAGAAGTAAAAAAGGTCTAAAAATTTGGAATAGTGATATTGAAAACCTAGTAAGAAACAAACAAAAAGTTTATCTTCAGCACCTACAACAAAATACTGAAGAGAGTAAAGAAAGATACAAGGAAAAGCAACTACTGGCAAAAAATTATATTCGACAAGCTCAACAACAAGCATGGTATATATTTATAAGCCAAATAGAAAGTGATATACACGGAAGACAGAATTTTGCTTATAAGATTCTTAAACAACTTAACAGAGATGAAAAAGATACAGTGAGAATAGATGTAATTGACAAGAAAGACTGGATTAAGCACTATAGAAATTTATGGTATAACAAAAATGAAGCACAACATAAACATGTGAAGTGGAATGCAGTGAAGTCAATCCCATAACAATAATTGAAATCCAAGAGGCTTTGAAAGAACTTAAAAATAGGAAAGCAACTGGAACAGACAACCTAAACACAGAATTATTAAAATATGGCGGGATGATGCTCCACTGGCAACTACAACACATTGTAAATTACTGTTGGCAAACTAATAACATACTAGAATCATGGAAAACTGCTAAAGTAATTTCCATATTTAAAAGAGGAGATCGAAATGATTGAAATAATTATAGAGGAATCAGTATCTTAAATGCAGTGTACAAGCTGTACACTAGAATACTAAATAAAAGATTAAAATGTATCTCAGAAATTCTTATTGGTGAAGAACAGAATGGTTTTAGAAAAGGAAGATCGACTACAAACATATTTATACTGCAACAATAATCAAAAAAAGAAAGGAGTTCAACCAACAAACACACATAGCTTCCATAGATTTTGTAAAAGCCTTCCATAACGTAAATAGAGTGACACTGTGGTCTATAATGAAAAATAATGGATATCCTCAAAAGTTAGTACAAGCAATAAAGACCTTGTATAAAGATTCTACTATTGTTATAAAAGTAGAAACAAATGAAACTGATAAAATATTGATAAACAGAGGAGTACAGCATGGCTGTCCAGTATCACCGACACTTTTTAATATTTATATCGATGACATTATCCAAAATTGGAAGAAAATAATGTACAAAGGTATTAGGATATCAAAAGAAAGTATTTTAAATATCTTACTCTACGCAGACGATGCTTTGATATTTCAGGAAACAGAAGATGATTTACAATAAGCATTATTCCAATTAAATCATTTATGTAAAAAATACCATGTTGAAATGTCGAAAGAAAAAACAAAGGTGATGGCATTTTGGGGAAAACATTTAATTAAAAGAAATAATTATTTTGGACAAAAAAATCTTAGAGCAAATTTCCAATTTCAATTACTTAGGTTGTCAAGTCGATCAAGATACCAATAAAGATATCAACATTCAATTGACAAAGTTTCAAAGGATTTGTGGTACTATACATAACACACTAAAAAACAAGACAAGATACTGAAACTAAAAGTTATTTTTTGTAATAGAAATCATACCATTGTTAATCAATAAATGAAGATGACTATATTTCTGCAAAACTTTCTCAGCAAACAATTTCACAGACTTAAGAGACATCAAATCAAGAGGCAATACTTCAGCACTGCCAGTTTTCACCCCTGAGTCTTGAATCTCTTGAACAGTTCTTTTACCAGCTTCCAGATTTCGACAACCTGCAAAATAAATTAACAATTTCAAAATATATATTTAAAGCATTTCAGTACAACTTAACCGTTTTATTATACATACCAATAACAACATGGATATCACATTGCATTAAACTTCTAACAACTTCTACTCCTAATCCACGGGCTCCACCACTCACAACAGCCACTCTTCCTGTTAGTTTCTGAAGAGCTAAATAAAATAGCATATAATGGTAATGAATGTTATCATCGTGCTAGTTATGATCAGAGCTTGGATTCCAATGAACTAAAAATTCTTTGAAAATGACCAAATGTTTTAAAAAATACTCAAAAGTTTGACGAAAATGTTTATTTATTCAATGAATTTTACAATTTTAAATAAAATGTATTTATATAAAATTATATTTAAAGTATTTATTTTAGGAGGAAATGTAATCCTTAGCTTCAATCTTCCAACCATTGGTTTTGAAAGGTAGAGGAAGTTACAGCAGATCTGAGTAATTTTAAGAGTTTGATAAACAGAGTTCACTGCAGAAGAGAATTTTGTTATGAACTGATAATACAGTAAAAACTTTGTTTTAGTGTGTAAATTCATAAAATATTCACTAATAAAAGACAAAAAGGGGGGAAAAGGCATTAAACGACAAAATGATGCAAATGTCCAAAAGAAAGTCTTAAAAAAAGTTAAAAATGTCAAAAAATTTCTATAAACTATACGTAATGATAAACATTCATTTGCAACTTAAGCTGCATCTAGAATGCACCCATGAAAAGATCAGAATCAGAGTCCTGGTTATCATAAATGCAAGCCAGTTGAACAAGTCACACAAATTTTAACATTTGGTAATCCTCAATACTGTCTTCATGTTGCATAACAAACAAAATTTTGTTTTTATAAATAATGTCAAAGAATATTCCCTTCCTGTAAGTTCAAAATTTTTGGTAGACTATTGTGACACATAAATGTTATTATTCACAAGGTTTAAAAACAAAATTTAAAATTGTTTTTAACTGTTACCAAATTATACTTTTATATTTTAATGTTAATTACTATTTTATATGCAATGTTTAAAAAAATATGAAAATATTTTACATTTCTAATCTTTTACACATGATTTAAATACTTAATTCTTAGGTGTATAAAATAACAACTGAAAACGATTGCTAAGAAATCCAAGGTACACGACATTGTTTATTTAAATCCCCATTGAGACATTAAATAATGAGGAGATTCTAAACGTACTCAATGAATTCGAAGATTTCTGCGTACTACTGACTAAAAGAAATTTATCAAACCCAGTGACTACATTATATCCATGGTTTATCAAATGCTTAGATTTATAAGATATAAGACAACCTTTCACATATTAAGTATTTCAAAATTGTATGATTTCCATTAATCAGGTCAGCATTGATACATGCATCTAATTTTGTTCCCCTTTTACAACATACATATAAATAAAATAGAATCTTTTGATGATATATTTCAAACTTTGAGCCCTAAGACATTACTAAAAATTTTGTACAATTGGGAAGAAGAGTAAATATTGTTAATAAATAATATGCCAAAATTACATACGGTAATCAAAATAATGACATTTTTTTATATTTCATCCTAACCATACTTTTGACCTTTGTTGGGCAGACATTATAATACACTGAGAATTGAATAAAAACTGCAAATAAACCAACCTAAGTAAAATTATATTCAAGTTTTGGGTCCATATTTTAGTTTCTTCCCTAAGAATTAAATTGATTGCACTCAAATTAGAATGCTTCATCTTGATGAGAGGTGTGCTTACAAATCAAATACATCTAATTTAAACAAAACACAAATCAATGTCCTTGAACTTCTGATTAAAGGATCAGGAAGGTTTTCTTCTAAATTAGATGACTAGCCAGGGTGATTAGAAGAGCAGAGCGTAAAGAAGGGCTTTCATTTTTCTTATTACAAAGCTTCTTTTAAATACCCAAAATGTTATCTACACAGTATCCAGTGAAATTATTATAATAACTCAATTTCATCAGATAAATATTTCACACATGATAGGAAATGTTTTAATGTTTATACATCTATAAAAAATCTCTGAACACTTTTACTACCATCTAATTAAGGAGTAATTTCATACTAGTTCACTAATAAAGAAGTTATCTCACATACTATTTTAATTTCCATGTTTCAAATGACAAAGGTACAAATTACAGCTTAAATAAGATAAAGTTTTCATACCTGTTTTATTTGACCGTCGATATATAAAATCTTCGAACATTGCAGAACTACCCAAAAAATAGTAGTATATTTGATAAAATATGGCATGTAATATTTGCTTCAAACCCAACTGCATCATAAAGGCAAGTGACGCCAGAAAGATTAAGCAAACAGCAAGAATTGCAATGTACTGCATTTCGATTTCTCAAAAAAGTATGTCACAAAATTGCCACGTATTGAAGAAAGCCACGTATGAGAGAAAGCCTTGCACTATTTAGGTCGCAATTTCAAAACAGAATAAATTATTGATTGGCTTGTATTGAAAACAAATTACATTAATTTTATTTTGTTGATTAGACGACCTCCATTGTGTTTGCAAATTCTCTAAAGCGAATATACCGCGGTAAGATTCTAGATTGGAAAGGCCGTAAGTCTGTTGGTTGAATTTGGCATTGCCTGTCTTTGTAGCGTGATCAGCTCCATCTACACAAAGTCGTGTGTACTTCAAAAGTGAAAATCAGTAACCAAAAGAGCATCAGGGAACACGAGCAGGATCTGAGCAGGAGGAAAGTAGTAGAGGAGGAACAGCAATATAGAGGAAGTATTTCGGCATAGGCTGGGACCTGGAATTTCTTTTCAGTGTATCTTTTGTTGCTGCGACTGATTAAAAATACCAGTGAATGTGTCTGTCGTGAAATTCTGTCGGCCGGTTGTGAACATATTTACTCCAGTTAGGTTTCTGGAAAATAATCTCGCTGAGGTAGTAATACCATTAATCCTGGAATGTCTAATAAAATACATGTTTTGTAATCTCATGTTTTTACGTTAATGAGGAGCAGTTCCGTTTCTGCGAGAAATGCATGTTGAGTTATACTCTTCTGTTACAGGTGTCGAGATACAGCCTGCCCCAAAATGAGTGACAGTGGTGCTCAGACTTCGCAACAGCAATTTTCAGCTCCAAGAGGATGGGAAGCGCTGAAAAACCACGTAATAGACCACAAAGTAGACGTTGCTCTGTGGGCTACCCGACTTTGTACTGTGTTCTTCTCTTTGTCGTATATTTTGCCCATTTTTGTGTAAGTTTTTGTCACACACCATACATTCTGAAATATTTTATTAGTTGGGTAAATAATATTATTTTACTGAATATGAATTTAATAAAATAATTATGGTGAACTGAAAGTTGTGAAGTGAGGTTAAAATACCATTTGATGTACAGAAAACTTATTCAAATTGTAATAAGGTCTTCCTCAACAATTCAGGAATAAGGCATTAGTCTGCAATGGCTTCTTGTTTTTGTGGCCTGTGTTTAATTTATCCATGTTTATGGATCATGATGTCATCATTTAGGTTTGACTTAAAGCGTATGTAGGAAGCACTATCATTTATTCTCTGAAGATGATCTTAGTGTTTCGAGCTGTACATTTTCATTTATTCTCCATTGCTTTAAAAAATTGTCTAGAACACAATGTTTTAACTGTTATTCATAATTTATTTTTTAAAATTTGAAAATCTTCATCGTTCCTGATTGCCAGACTATTTCTTTCACTTGAGAAAATATTCAACAAAGTTTCTTAGTTTTAATTCTAGTAGATCTTACTTTATTTAACACATATTCTGTAAAATGTCTGTTCTTTAATTGTAATATTAATTCCTGTTAAAAATAGTTTTCAAGGTATCTAAATAAACTGTGCATATCTTTCATTTGTTAATAGGAATATGCAAATTCTATCAGTTTTCTCTCTGTTGAGGTGTTCAAAATATTTTGAAGTCTGTTTTCTCTTTTATTACAATTAATCATCTACAAAGAAGTTAATCCAGTGCAATCTTTTTAGCTAGAACTAACCAAACAAGGATGCTTTTCCTTCACTGTATATTGTATATTGAGTAGTATTGACTTGGTCAGGGTTGCCCAACTGGAGGCCCGTGGACGCATGTGGTGCCATTTATTGTGGCCTGCATAAGGTTCTTAGTCAAAAGATAAAGTCCCTTGTATCTGTATCAAGCAAGAAAATAGCATGAGTCATCACCCCCTTTTTATTTAAAAATAGGTTCAATTGTCGATTTAAGATTTTTTTTTTCTTGTAAATTCAGAAATTCAAAATCAACCCTAATGTGTTTCACTGCGTTATGCATGGTAGGGTCTGACCTGGTTCCATTCCTCCCCGCCTGCCCCCACTCTGCTTTGCAGCCAGGCAAAGTGCTGAGACCATCAGTATGAGAAAGGCAGGAGTGGATCGACCATGTAATATGGCCCGCGACCATATTAAAGGTTTTAATTGTGGCCCTTGAGGTCTTGCAAGTTGGACACTCCTGGTCTTTGTAATGGGAAGTGGACAGTATTTTTAAGATTGTTAATTAATATCTTGATATGTTTTATTTAAATTACTAATTTGACTGGAATTTCATGATGTTAAGATGTGAGAAGCTATGTAATAATGCCTTACTCTATCAAGGTTGGGTTGCCACGTTCTGGAAAAGTCAGAGAATTTTGTTGAAGGCCAGGATTATAATTTTTTTAATACCTATAAATTAACATGATTCGGATTTTTTAAAAAAAAAATGCCGTCTTTGAAGGGACATGGGAATTTTTTGTATGATTCTGCCTGAATCAATCAGGAATGTTAACAGATTGAAAACGTCAAATGATGCTACCAGTTACCATCAACGTTACATTCCACTAAAAATGATATTAAAACCCTCAAAATGCAGGAATGACTTTTAAGTGACTTATAGTCATTAATTATTGTTATTAACAAACTCTCTTTAATTTTGTATAAAAGAATACCAATATTTACTATCTTGAAAAAATTCTAGAATTGGCCTAATTTTTTGTGTTTAATGTAAATACATAGATTTTTAGGATTTTATACAGTTTATTTGCAAATTACTTAAGTTCAGAGAAAAAAATTAAATTTGGGCTGATAAACCTGTAAAGGATTGATAATTGAATTTTAATTTGCAGTGTAAGTTGAAATGTGGACTTCGGTCATACAATAATATGTGGCCATTTATTTTGCAGGAAATAAATTTATTAGGTGAATGTGGAGTGAATGTTTTTGAGCTAGGTTGAGCATGAAATTTGCATTTTCTTTACATCTTTCAATTGAGTTAGTCTGTTCGTCCATTTGAGCTTGAATAGAAAATTAAAACCAGTCTCGCAAACAAATATTATGATTGTTCATCCCAAACATTGCTTAATATTCTTAATTGTAGAAAGAAACATTTAAATGTTATGAACTAGAATTCTTGAATTATTAAATAAATCTCGAAGAGGAAAATATATTTTTCTGCAAACAATAATAGAGCATACAAAAAAGTCCATAAGACGTAAAGCATACAAATTATCCATAAAATACATTTTAGAAAAAAATATTTTCATTTAGGGGTAAATTAGTTGAACAGTACAAAAGATAATATAATTTTGATCAAACATTTAAGAAAGGCATTTTGAGGAGTTAAAATTTCATATTTCAAATACTTATTACATTAAATGGGAATTTAAAAAGATGCTTTAATATCTCGCTTTCATTGAATATGGAGGACTCCGTTCTCACACATTATTATTGTTGGCTGTAAATGTATAAGAAAAAACATTTTATCTGATAAATTTGTATTTATTTAACATGCACAATTTTTAATCCAAATCGGCTATCAAGTGTTTTTTGTTTGTTTTTGAGATAAAAAATTTATTTCATACGATGTATTTTTTTAAACATAGTGTTTCTCACTAAACATTCATTTGGAAGCTTTCTTACTTAGTGCTTAATAGTGTTGTAAGAGGTGATGTAAGGCTTTTTCCCCCCTGTTGCATATTTAGAGTCCTAAAAGAAGCTGATTCATGTTGACCTTGTGAAGCAATATGAATGTTAATTAACAAACTGTCTCATTTGAGACCATTGTAAGTTTCTCTTCTAGATTATTTGAGGGTTTTTTGTTTTTTTTCTTCTAAAGAATTGTTCTATTTGCAGGCACCCTTACAGTGCTTATTATAAAGCATTGATGTCAAATGCAGCTACTAGTGCACTGCGACTTCACCAACGTATTCCACGGGTTACTCTATCCCGTGAATTCCTAGCACTCCTATTGGCTGAAGATAGTTGTCATTACTTATTTTTCTCACTAATATTTTTGTATGTGTCACCTGTGACAAGTATCCTTTAAAAAATGTTATTTGGTTTTGTGTGCTTTTGTTGTTTTTCTAGGTTTTGATGTCGAGAGCACATTTGATATTAGATAAGTGTAATGTATGTGAAAGAGTAATTTTGTATGTGATTGCAAAAGCAAGTGAAAGTGTGAGTGACTGACAATTCATTTACCATATTAAGATAAGGAATATGCTGAAAAATTGTTGCCTTAACATTGACAGTGGTACTTTTACCTGGGTTTCTGTTTGCTGTGCTTCATTCAGCAAGTTACTCTCTGACATTACTTGATGTAAGTAATAATTTGTAATCATAATTTATTTCTGGAATGAGTATATAATAACAATTAAAGTTTAATAAAGCAGTTTGAGCCTTTTAAATTTAACAATTTCTCGCCAACTTAGTTGAATCTTTCAAATTCCATTTGGTATATCATATAAATAATTCTTTGTCATTTTGCAAAAAAAAATAGTCTTATCTGTAATTTGTAAGGTAGACAAGTTTTCTTCTAGTTTTGAAACTGTTCTGGTAGTTTAAATATTTTACAAATTACTAGTGGCAGAAACTAATAATGCTCATATAATAATAATAATAATTATTATTATTATTATTATTATTATTATTATTGATATTGTTAATTCAAAACATTGAGCTATTTATAAATGTATACACTACAAAAGACTTAGGGCCGAATTCATAGTCGTCACTTATAGAATAAGCAAATCATTTAGTGATAAGTGCTTTCTCAAAATAAGTGTTCACTTATAGGCGCTCATATTTCATAGACGTTTCTTATGACCACGGAATGAGTGTTCCCTTAAGAGGAAGGGTAAATGTGGTAACATGGCATTGGCGACAGCTGTTTGGAAGTTCTAAAACTGGTTACGACTGACGACGCGAGGGAACCATAAGGGACACTTAAGGGAGCAGGCTGCCTCGCTTATAGGAATGAGTGCTTTCTTAAGACTTCACTCAAGGGCTGTTTATGAATACGATTCGTCCACAGGATCACTCAGTGTAAGAGACTACTATGAATTCGGCCCTTAATTTATTATAAATAATAATTATTTTTTTATATTAATAATAATTATTATTTCTATTCATTAAAGTTTTGGGAGTTTGATGTTGTAATATCTCCCTAAATGGACCTGTGTAAAAACTCTTCTCTTCTTTAAACAGTTTTTTTTAAACTATATTTTCATAATGAAACCCAACTTTGAATGGCGAATCCCTGAAATGTGCAATTGCATTATAAACTCAACATTATCTGAGAAAAAAATCATTCTAATACTGCTAAGTGACGAGATTAAATTACACAGAAAATCAAAGTCTCATTAATTTGATTGTGAAAGATTATTTTTGTCTTTTCATCCTCGATTTTAATTCATAAAAATAACAACTTAATTTTACATGGATTTCGGGTTTCTGCACTTTCTGACCACATGGTGGACAAACACCCTAAATAACTAAATATACATAATTGTAATAGAAAGCTAAATTAGTAATTTATGCAACTAGTTTATAATGTTAAGCTTTAATACACGAGTGCATGTTTCGAAAACAAGCAGCGTTAGGGGCAAGTTTACAAATTTGTCCTCGTGCAATAAAGCAACATTATAAAGAAATTGTGTACACTTTTTTCCTATGCCAGTTATATATTTTAGAGAATCAAAAAAAAATTGGGGAAACAATTTTCTCTACAATCATTCAATAATATCCTGATATATATTTAATCGACAATGTCATTAAAAACATCGCCCGTGGATTCCAGTTCGGAAGCCGACAATCACATTCCTAGAATTTTCGGAATCCACTGGCAGAATTGCATTCACTTTGCAGTTTGCAATGCCGTTTTAAAATAACAATCGCAGTGCGCGGAAGGGTCAAAAGGACAAAGGGGGGTAAGTGGGTTAATAGACTATTATTCTGTCGTCACGGTGGTCGGTTGTTCCGTTCACCGCTACCTCACGATTCTCTCACTGCAATTGGCAGAATGTGTGGTGAAGCAATGATTTGTGCTAGAAAAGACAAATACGTTGTAAACTGTATCGCAAGACGTCCTCGTATGAACGATTTCTTGTAACGGAGAAAGGTGATAATGCTGGAATATAAAAAATGTCATATTTGATAGAATACTGCATAAGATGTATAATTTTGCCCCACCAGGTCCCCATCTCTCTCTTTAATGTGTCATTCCAATCTTTTTTATTTTCTCGCTACGGAGAAGAAAGCAAGTTACGTAATGCCGCGCGAAAAAAATTGCGAATTTTCGGACGAAACCCCCTTATTACAGGACCCTAGGGCCGAATTCATAATGGTCATTTATAGGATAGGCGAACCTTTAAGTGATAAGTGCTTTCTCAAAATAAGTGTTCACTTATAGGCGCTCGTATTTCATAGATGTTCCTTACGACCGCGGAGTGTTCCCTTAAGCGGAAGGGAAATGTGACAACATGGCAATGGCGACAGCTGTTTCAAAGTTTTTGGCAACCGAGTTTACACACGCACTTCAACTTGTGCAAAGGGCGTCCAATTTAACAGGGGACGGACACACCAACGTAGAGTTGACGTCGCGCGCTGCGACCACTTGTCTCTCATTTGTTGTGTTTATAATACTTAACTCAGTTTCAATTGATTCCACAACCTTAACTTATGCTCTAGTATGTAGCTCTATCATGTAATAAAAATGTCAACCCTGTGTAGTATTAACATAAATTCCATTTTACAACAATTTAAATTACTTCACTTGTTATTCATATTGCAAATTCATAATTACTTATAATGTCTTATAAATCAGTAATGAATAAAAGTTAAATATTTTGGAAACACCTGAAAGGATGAAGTTGCATAAAATCTTAATGCAACGAGAACTTTTAATAAGGGAGAAATCGGCAGGCCTCTTTTAGTCATAGGGACTTCGTCGATCATCGGCAGAAGAGTAAACAGTAGTTTTATTGAAACGAAACCGCTTTCGAAATTGTTCATAATTTCCAATGGGTTGCTCATATCTTTAAAATATCTCTTTGAATTTCGCAGGATGTGTTGAGTATAAAACTCAAAATAATCTTGGAATTCGTTTTCCATAACGTTTCACGAATGGAACGTTTTAACTGACTACACTATTAGAATACCAGCAATACGAATTCAAAAGTCGGTGAATGTCGCGGAAAGTATAACTATGAATTCGGCCCATAGTAATCGAAAAGTAGTTAAAAACAGTTGCTAAATTAAGGACGGGGTCCTCTTTCATGTGATGCATCCAGAATCCATATTTTGTAGGTCCTTGATACCGAAAAATCGAAGTGTCAAGCTTTTTAACATGTTTCAACTCTGAATATAACACTGTCTTGACAACACTATTATCATTAACTGAATACTATTATTATACTTCCATTATTTAGTTTAACAATCAAAAGGGGCCTGAAATCAGAACACGTATCATGTAATTAATTTCCAACAAGCAAGTACAGAAAACTAAGTGAAAACTGAATTATACAATTTACAAAATAAGAAAAGCAATATATGCACACACACACACACATATTGTGAAATTCTGTGTGATCTTTCTGCAATACAAGTGAAGGTAAGATGGGACTACGAAGATTATTTGAAGATATATAACTTCATAAAGTCAGAATAAGATAAAAAATTAAAATATTATACTTTTGTATAGTTTCATAGGAATGTACAATGTATTTTCAAATGCACTTGCATCTGGCAGTCAGCATTTCCACATGAAAACATTTAGTGAGTTTTTACCAATACAATGAAAAAGAAAATGGTATGTAACTTTTGTTCATGTTCGTATGGAGCAACCTTTTCTACTAGAATTAGTGTTTGAAACTGATGAGTTTCCTATCTTTAGTAATACATTTCACGAATATATAATTTATTTTGGTACTTATCACTCACATTATGTCACCCAAAATAAAGTTCCAGTTTTACTTTTTAAGATAAATTTCCCAATTTTACTGTCCGTACGTGTATACGGAGTATATGGGAAGTTTTGTAATGCTGATTTAAAAAAAAAAAAGAAGAAAAAAAAAGAGATGCTGATTTTCGTCAGAAGAAAAATCATCTAACCCGTGATGTAACGCGAATCCGTTTCGTACCGAAAAACTAATTGACAGAAATACGTCCGTACCTCAGTCTGTGAACCACCAGCGCCTAAACCGTACGTACTCTTTCCAAAATGGATATTCCCCGGTAAAATAATTTTTTCGAATCCAATTTTATTTTTACATGAAAATACATGTCTTAAACTATTTTTCAACATAGTTTCCGCCAATGATCAAACACTTGTCATAACGGTTGACCAGTTTTTGTATACCACTGTCAAAGAAACTTCCCGACAGTTTCGATAACCACGACTCCACAGCATTTTTCGTGTCATCGTGAGATCCAAAACGCTTGCCACCAACCTCGCGCTTCATGTGCAGGAACAAGTGATAGTCGGACGGCGCCAAGTCCGGGCTGTACGGCGGGAGATCGAACTGCTCCCAATGAAACTAGAATTAACGATTGAGTGACACCAGCAGTATGGGGCCGAGCGTTGTCGTGGAGCAACATAATTCCTTTACTGATCATTCCTCTTCGTTTGTTTTGAATGGCACGCCTTAGTTTTGTTGAAGTCTTACAATATCGTGCCGCATTAATGGTTTCACCTCCGGGAAGAAATTCAGTATGCCTTTCCTTTTTCCAGAAGACAGTGCTCATGATTTTTTGTGATGACATTGTCACTTTGAACTTTTGTTTTTTCGGAGAATGAGTGTGTCTCCACTCCATAGATTGTTGTTTCGATTCTGGTGTGAAATGACACCAAAGCTTCATCACCTGTCACAATTTGGTTTAAAAACATTTCTCCCTCATCACTGTACCGCGTGAGAAATGTCAGGGCACTACCAAGTCGCTTTGTTTTGTGAACATCAGTGAGCATTTTTTTGGAACTCATCAGGAACACAGTTTGCGATAATTCAAGCGGTCAGCCACAATTCCGTACGTGAAATTTGTAGAAATGCCTCTGAAAGAGTTGTCATTGTGAAGTCTGTTCTCATGAATTGCTTCGACTTTCCTCACCAAATCATCGGTGACAACAGAAGGCCGACCACTCAGAGCCTCGACGTGGACATTTGGTCGACCTGCATTTAACATTCTTACCCACTTTCTCACCATTCCATCACTTATCGCGTATTCACCGTAAAATTCTGCCACTTGACGATAAATTTCGGCCGGTTTAACATTCCTCGCGTTCAAAATTTTAATCACGGCACGAATCTCAGTCGGCGGGAGAACTAATTGCCTTAAACATTTTGAATGTGCACAGCAAACTGAAAATACTACATTGAGTAACGAAAATGGCGACAATTGAAGGTCAGTGAACAAGAAAGACTAGTGCGCGTGCGCGGGACGCCTACCACAGCGCTGTGACGGCGCTAGAATGAAACGGTACTTAGTTTCCGAATACGCTTCGTAAATTAAATCCCCGGACTTTTTTCAAAAATTTCTTAAAAACTGCTTTTTTTAAACTTTTGGTATGGATGGTATTAACTGTAGGCGTAGGCGACCGTAGGCGATAACATAAACGCCATATTGTTCTATTTTTGTTTGTTTTCAAATTTTACAAAAATGTAATTTTGTAAACTTGTCTTTCACGCTGTTAGTATTCACATTAACGGCAATTGTTTCACGTTATTTACACATGCTTTAAATGATGCCGAATAAAGTTCCGTGAAAACTCAATCGTGTTCTATTAAAATTAACTCAAAATTCCACATTTTCAGAAACTCAAACGCCATTTTCTCTAAAACCGCTCCATATATTTTTATTCAAACTTCACTAACTGCACTAAAGGATGACACGATTAATTTTTCTGTGGTATTTTATTTTTTCAAACACCACACAAATGTAATTTTTTGAAATATCTCACGTATTTAATAAGCACATTCCAGCTATTCGTAAACACTTGCATTTGTGAGTGGAAGTGCTTCAAATGACTTCATGTGAAGTTTTTCAGAAAGTGAATAGTTTTCTGTGAAAAGAGGTTCAAATTTCCCATTATTGTAGTGCTTAAACGCAATTTTCTTAGAAACCGTTCGAAAAGTTAGAAGAAAAAAAATTTGAACAGTTTTTGAGAAAATGACGTTTCTGAAAATGCGGAATCTTAAAGTAGTTTTCCAAGAAAACTGTTGAGTTTTTGAGAAACTTAATGAAACATTATTGAAAGCACATGTACTCATAAATACAGTAATGTGAAACAATTGCCGCTAATATAAATATTAATAATGTGAGAAACTAAATCCAAAAAAATAAATTTTTGTAAAATTTGGAAAATTAAAAGAATAGAGCAATATGACGTTTACGTCATCTTAGAGAGTATATTTAGCACTATCCCTACCAAAAGTTTAAAGAAAATATTTAGAACAGTTTAAAAAAAATCGGGTTTTAGTATTTTTATAAAATTGCACATATTGAGCAAAGACTACTAAAATTTTCAAAACAATTTACATGACCTTAATGAACTCACTATGGAGAACAAATTTTATTGAAAGGAAAAATCTCTATTTTCAATTTTGTTGTTGGAAGACGAAAAATTTGAAATTTTTGAAAATTCAGAGTTAAACCTGAAAATCAGACCTATGCCACCTTTATGGACGTATTTTACTGTATTCTAACAAAAAAATTAAAGGACAAATTTGGAAATGTCCAGGGGGTGTCAAGCAAAGTACCCTCAAAATTTAAAGAATTTTCTTCAAAAATCTCAAATCTTCAACTTGAACCAGGTAGACATGGGTTTCTTCAATTTGAAATAAATCCTATGTATGGTTTAGGTGCTAGTGGTGTTCATACACTGACGGACAGGCAGGAAAGAAAGAAAGGGGAAAAGAAAAAAAAAGAAAAAAACACCACCACCACTGCAGCATTACATCAATTTCCCTATACTATGTAAATTACTCTGAGTATACTTAGGTATACAGGAAAGTAAAAATGGTTTTACATATATTCTAGTTTTAATTTTCCTATTTGTCATCTTTTTCGGTATTGGGAAAACTTGCATTCTTGAATGGTGTAGAAGGAAAATATTTTTTTTACTTAAATTCCTCCAAGTCCATAAATAAATTAAATCTTGTCTCCAATTAAGTTTTAAATCTATTTTTCAGAAACTAGTTCATACACAAAAGAACTTTCTAAAAAATATTTTGAATGTTAGTTCTTCAATTTTGTTCAACAATTTTCATCTTTTCACATTTCTGATAATATAGATCGAAATTAAGCAAGCAATGGTCACACAACCCTAATGTCAATAACATTCAGAGAAGTATCAGTGTTATAAGATACCTTCAAATTAAAAAAAAAAAGAGGTTTGTTTATTTTATATTGACCCTCCCATAGCAAACCTTAAAGAAAATTACTTGAAAATTGTTAATGGCTGTTGTTCGGTATCACTCCTGGTTCTTCCACTATTTACACCTGGAAAAATTATAACAAGAACAGAGTCAAGTCATTAGAGAACTAAATTTTATGTACAAAATTAATTTAAAATGTTCAATGAGAAAGGTTTGTTTGAAAAAAATTAAAGATAATTAAAAAATAATTTATTTGAACAGGTTAAGTTTGAAGAAAAAATGTATGGCGCCTTGATCACTTAATGTATCTGCAACTTTAGCTGTAACTTTCATACATTTGATCCATTAATTTACAATTATAAGTTTGGTTCAGCAAATAGTAGCAATGCTGTTATAATAAGAAAAATTGACACTTTTTTCTGAATTATATTTACTAAAGTATTATTGCCTTTTTTGAATTATTTATGAAAAAATTCTCCAGTGTTGCAACACTGTGTATTAATTAATTTTAAAAAAATTTGCATAAAATGCAATTTCCCCCCCTCTCTTCTAAAAATAATTCATAACTTCATATCTTCATCATCATCAACCCCAAAGACTTGACACATGTTTCTCAATGTATGTCAACGCGCTCAATCGGAATCTGAAGCTAGAATTGCGCCACCACCCTCCAGGTTTTTATACGCGAAAAAACACTGAGACGTATCTTTTCTTCTTTTTTTTTTCCTCCGGTGTTGGTCGTCAGGCCAAAACTTAACAAGTTTCTTTATGTATGTCAAAGCTGGAAGGTGACGGCATAATTCTGGGTCTAGAGTCGGATTATTCGCATCAAACCTGTCAATTTCATTTTCGTTGAAATTTTATTTATTTATTTATTTATTCTTTTTTAAATTGAAACAATTCCAATTTTTTTCGGAGTCTTCCTACAACTAGTTTTTTTTTCGTGATGAAATGTTTCTGAAAGACAAATTTTGAAATACTTCATGTTCGATTTTTGAAATACGAGTACTTTTCAAGTAATTTTGCTCGGAATATTGGCAATTTTGTAAAAATTAATATAAATTAAATTAATATTCCGTTATTAATCACGCAGCACCCTCTAGGGGCCGCTGGATAGTCCAGTCAGGGAATCGCTGATAAGTAGGGTCTTCGCGCTCGCGTCTAGCACGTGCGGTACGTCATTTACCCTTCGGCCAGAATTGGGAAGGAATAAGACTAGGAGTAAGGATTATGACGCTTCACAGGGGGGTTGGACTAGCCCTTATGAAGCATGAAAACTCGTTTTGTCGTAACAAGAATCGAACCCGGAACCTCAATGATGAAAGGCAAGCGACTCCGCCTTTGCCACGAGTAACAAATAAAAAATGTACATTTTTCTCTAAAAAAACGCTCTATATTAAAAAGGTCATGCACGTTAAAAAACTAGTAGTTTTTACATAATTTGAAATCTATGCAACTAAAAGAAATATTCTCAAATAATGTTCCACAGGTAGAAGGAGCACTTTAAAAATGTCGCAAGTTTCATTTTCGTTTAACTCTCCGTATTCTCGAAATTGGATTTTTTCAAGAATTATAAATTTATTATTATTTATTAATGAATTATTTAACTAATATTATTAATAGTAGTAGTAATGGAAACCCGTGTGAAATTCACATGGAAAGTTTAAATCTGAATCCTTTTACTTGTCTGGATATTTAATACCTTCACCTATTTAGACAGAAAAAGCAATGCATTATGTCTGTAGTGCCGCTTCCTTATCTCGCCTGGTAAGGTCTCCTCCGCCCTGGCATTCTCGAACCCACCTTGCTCCTTAACCCTGACCTCACCCTATGTGGGTTTTGCAAGGATCTCGACCTTACCGCCACGTAGTGCAAGAGTCGACATTACAAAAAAACAAATGTAAACTAACAAAAACACAAAAAAAGAGTTCATGTTTGTAATATTATTAAGAAGTTGCTGTTGGTTTTTGTTATTTTAATGAGAAAATGTTTGTTTGACTAATTTTCATGTAGTATTTACACATCATATAATGTTTCTCATACAGTTTTGTCATTATTTTCCAATTCTCAGACACTGGGCCAGAACTCATGGTGGGCTGCTCGGCTGTTGATTTCGATGGTGGAGTTCCAATCCCGGAACATTTTGCGGCTGGTTGCCTTCACAGAAATATTCCTGATGCCTATGAGTGTTGTTCTCGTTTTCCTGTGAGTAATGGTTCAGTTTTTGTGTCCAATATTACACTATAATATTTGTATGGAAAGTCATTTATCACTATATGAGCAAGATGGTTTGCAACCTGAACAATATTTAAAATTGAGGTTTGCAAATCTCACAAATTGTGGGACAATGCCTTTGTGAATCCTTGAAAGCACATCTGTTCTTGGAATCTGAAACATCACACTTGTGCAAGATTAGACTTGTTTTGATGGGTCCAACTTGTGTTCATTGGTACAGGTCACTTTGGTTACATTTACATTGATTGTTCTCAGAGTCTTTGTTGCAAATTTATTTGTGGGGAAAATGCGAGTTATGCAGACAATGAACTTAAATTGAGCTGCTTGTTGCAGGAGAGTCTTCAGTCAAATAGACAGTAATGTGCTGTTTAAAGATTTGAGTGATGAGTTTTTTCCAAAGAGAATGAGACATTTGAAGATGTAAATAATGAGTTTTATTCTAGAATTCTGTTTGGATATTTCTCAAATGAATCTACCACAGCCAGAGATATATCCAAAAGATGAATACAATAAATTATGTTATTCAAAAATGTATGCAAGAAAATGAGGATGTAAGTAGAGAGAAGGAACAAGCTGATAGTGATTTTTACTTCCTTGGTGAGACAAATGGAGTAAATCTAAAAGTTGTCACTGGCACTAAAGCAAGTGCTGGCATGAAACAAGAAATACTTGATGTGTGTACCCGAATACAAGATGAGGTTTTTTCCTAAATATCTCATTTTAAAAATTTTAATTTGCCTTGTATGCCTGCGTCCACTGCAAATTTGCTGGGCGATTCAGACTATTTTTGAATTGACTGGTAAAGAGAGAATCCCAAGTGAATAGCATTGATTACTTGAATACTGCTGGGGCAGTATAGCTCTGAAGAAGGCCACAACACGATGGCTGAATCGTCAGCTCAATCTCACAAAGCCTCTGCAAAATAAAAGGTTTGCCTTATGTTTGGGTAAATGTGGTATTTACATAAAGAACCTTCTGAACTTTTCAAAATGTTTTTAACCTATGAAGTAGTAGTATTTTTGTTTCCAGAGACAAACAGATATGCAATCCAATGAAAAGTTTTACATAATTACTTGAAGCTAGAATTTACAAACAACATGATAGATAACACAACGAAATGGAATGTTTCTTTTCCTGTTAGTATCCTTCTATTAAAACCTACTGTTCTAAAACTGGTTTTACGCCAACAGAAACAAAAATCTAAACTTTCAAAATCCAGTCCAGTTGCTGCGAAATAATGGCATTTCCAAAACAACAAAGAAGTGACAGAAGAAAAGTTGCAAATCGTTAATTAATTTCCTAAATCTTGTCATTATAAAAGAGAAAATATGTATTGATGAAAGCAATGTGTCAGTCAAAGGGTGCTTACGTTTTGTCAGTAAAAAGGAATGGAATTTATTGCAAAATATGTATGTATATATGTATTTATTTTTTCAAAAAATGGAAAATGTGTAAAATAAAAATTCATGATAGGGTTTAAATTTTGCCCCTTATAAGCATTTTCAAATTTTCAAACACAAAATGTGGTCGTGAAGCAAAATGAAAGTTCTAGAAGTAATTGGACACTTGTCATCACCAAACAAAACTTCTTTTAAACAAAGAGTAAAATATGTGTAGACTTTGCAAACACAAGAGAATTAATATATTAAAAGAAATATGAACACCAGCCTATGCAAAAAGTTTGTTTCGTCTTTTGTATGCGACTCCCATGGCGAAAGTGCAATTCCACTGACATTCATATTTATTTTAATATATTAATTATCTTATGTTTTTAAAAATGTTGAGTCACGGATTGTTTTAAATCAAGTGCTTTTTTTTTTCATTGTATTTTAACAATGGTGACATTGTCATTTAGTTCAATGTCCACTAAAATGTTGATGTTATATTTCATGTAGCCTGAAGATAGGGGGGGGGGATTATTGCTCCAAACATTGTAGTCAACCTATATTTAAGAAGAATGAAAACTTCAAATCATATGATTTTAGGATTTTATTTCTGAATATATATGTGAATTGGTCTGTCAAGAAAAATCTGGGCAAAGTGAAAGCAGTACAGGTATGGTGGTGCAGAAAAGAGTGATGTTTGTACTCTTGAATACAAAACAAAAAAGCAGAATTCACAACTGTGACTCTTTATTGTAAGGAAACTGCAAAAACAATTGCTATAGTATATTACTAGCAGAAAATTTACATTGCTTTTTCTTATGAAATGAACATGTACACTTCATCATTCTGAACTGAGTCAAACGGTGTAGAAAACTGGCTATTGAACTTATTCATCGTGCATCTTTAGGTGATACTCTGCTTTTGCATCAGGAATTGACATGAGAAAATGTCTACAACAAAATTCAAAGAGCATTTTATTTTGACAAAAACAAATTGAAGATTCATCATAAGACCATGCAGGATCAGCAAAACAGTCACGTGATTCAAGATGTGGGTCCCAACAAGTGTGGTTGGTGCTTTGTTTGCTATGAAAAACTGACCAAAGTTGATTGAAAACATGCTCAGTCAGCCACAGGTGTGTTTTAGTTTGTGGACTTTTCAATTGATTGTTCTTTATCTGATTTCAAGCCATAAGAGACAACACTTGATTCACACAGGTGCACACCAAAAGGAGGCTCTATTGTTACAGCCCTTTTAATTTCCTTAAATATAATACTGGATTGAGAAGTTAATGCTGTTCTTGATGGCTCTTCACTTACCAACTCAGAATCAACTGTTGATACTCAACGCCGTTGTTGTAAAAATTCAATGCGCATCATGTTAAGATTTTAATGGCTTCCAACATATAGAATAAAAGCTTTTAAACTTAATAGTTAAGTTTTAATTCAAACAAACTGTGAACTTCTCCAGTATGATGTTTTTATTTTTATTTTGTGGTGTGTTACAGAGGCCGCTGTGGTTTGCTGACTCCTTTTATTTACTACCAGTTTCTTGGCTTGCGTTACACATCACGCCGCAACCCATATACTCGCAACATGTTTTATGAGCTTCGGCTTCTGCTTGAGCGTACAGCTAATAAGCCAGGCCTCCCTTCATTCCTAAGAACAGTTCTCATGTCAATTGTTACATTCACATCAGGTCTTGCACCACCTATGGGAGAGGCAGGTCAGGCAGGCCGTTAACTCCAGTGTTATGTGGCAGAAACGAGCCAGTTTTATACAGGTGTCAGCAATTGCAAGTTCTAAACTGCAATGTTTAAGTTTTTGGTACTCCGTATTTTTCATTGAAATTTCTCTTCAGTTCACCTTTTGTGTGAAATAATTCATTAAACAATCCATATATATTCCATTTATACCGTAAGTGAATCATAGATCAGTATTTTGTTTGAGAGTATTGTGTGTAAATCAAGGAATATGAATTTTTTAAAGTGGTGATTGATTATTACAAGCTGTGTTACTTATGAGCAAATTACAATAACCGTGGAAAAAGGAATCTTGAGTACAGACAATGTGCCTGTGAAATTGTATTTTGTCCAACAGTTGTGGTGTCTTTTTTTAGTGCATACTGGATAGTTCTTTTTAAACCAAAATATGGAAGATTAAGGAAATTGGATTAAATGACAGTTTTATTCCAAAGACTAGATTTCACTTCTGTTGGCTTGACATTTTCATTTTCTTATTGCAACCTGTGTGTGCCTTGATGTTTTATCACGTTAGGTGTAATGTTTCTTTGGAGTGTGTATTACAACTACCTCTGTGTTATATTGCTTCTGCAAAGTGTCACTATTTGTATTATGTCCATGACATGCACTCTAGGAATCTTTGTGTATGCTGTTCACAACATTTAATGAACATTTGTGAGAATTGTTCTTAAATCTTCATATGAAAGTTGTATTTACAGGCTTAAATGAAAAATTCAGAACATTGTCTTGTTAACTTAGTGTTACCATTAGAACACAGGTGAATTCTTGTCAATAAATACATCTTTGCAGAAGACCCTTTGAGGGAGCCATGAAACAGTTGTGGTGAATTGACTGGTACATGTAATATTGTCCTTTGCAGAGAACGTGTAACAAACGAAATGCATTTGTTTTGTACTGGGAATTTTTTTTATATGTAATAAAAACAGTTACATATTGCATACTGGATGTTTGTTTGGTTGATAGTTTAATACAAGTTGCTCATCAGGTCATACCTGAAGAGGAACCATAAGTATATTGACAAAAGTTTTCAATTACAGTAAGGATTTGTATAACATGAGTGTTGTGTTATTGTTATATGTTTAATTTTGGTTGTAATTTTACTATTTGGACTCTGCTAATAAATTTTTGGTGTTATTTTGGTATGCTCCTTTGTCTTATTCAAGTAAAGAAGCTTTTGATCTCTTGTCATTCCTCGATAAAGAAAAAAAAAATTAGGAATCTTAAAAATGTTCTATGTAAGCATATACTTTCTTAAGATTTTCAAAAACAATTCACATTGAAAGAAACCTCATTTTCTATCTCTTCTGGAAAGTTGTGTAGATTACATTACGTCGCGTAAGTGTTAGCGTAAAGCATATCCTAAGATCATATTCACAGAAAAAGATTTCGTTTCTAAACTCGTTTGAATGTTCCATATTATTTATATGATTGTGGCCGATACGTCACAAATGAGTCACGTCCAACTGGTTTTGCATACTGCAATTTCTACAGATAACTTTTTCTAGTAAATCCACTTTTTATAAAACAAATAAAATGGAAGAGAAAACACGCTCCACATGCAAGCAAACATCTAGGAGTTATCCAATTGCATCATTACCCTTTATTCATTCATGTAGTCTGTACGAAATCACGCACCATGAATTATTTATTCCCTTCAAAATTATACAAATATAAAACATTTATTTTATATCAAAATATCTTACCAAGTAAGCTGGGATAAGTGATTCATATATACTTATTTCGATGCTGGGTACGGCGTCTGGAGTCAGTTATGCAGCTCGCCAGCCCGCTTGCCCAATGGGCATACCAGCCCTGAGAAACGACAAAATGGTCGAAACGTCGGCAAAACAGCCTTCGACGCGACGTCACCCGGACAGCCAAGATCATGCACTTTTTTAAATTTGTCCTAAAGTACGAAAACATTTTTAAAATTAGCTTCGGTTATTTTACTTGGGAAAAGAGATTCATCAGATGAACTCTAAAGCAGATAAACATCGTTTTGATATCAAAAATCTAACTTGTAGGATAAAAGAGCTGGTGCGTATACTCCGCTCATTCTTTCCGGTATCTGACAACGGAAGATGTTAGAGCGAGGTGGAATGATAACGGGAAGTAAAATATATCTAAAATAAAATGTGAGGAGATGGAATAATGATGATATTTACAAAATTAGTTCATTTTTTTTTAAAACCATTTCCAAATCGGAATCGATAGTTTGAGTAATGCATCAAGCAATTTTAAGATCGTATTCGAAGGAAGATGGAAATATGTGAAAAAGATAGTTATGTACTAGTTAACTATTCTAGTTTGGTATCTATGGAAAAAAATTGAGATGCAATGTGACGAAACCATAAACCGACTGTCTGACTTGCGTATCCCGCAAGTCCCGCCTGCTCCGCCGAGCCGACAGAGGGCCCACAACAATCGGATGATAGACGCAACGGCGCAGAAAGAAGGGGGGCGAGGCGTTTTCCTAAATTTCACTTTACGACGCTCCTATTCGTCCGATTTGCATGATTGTCACGGCGTTGAATTCAGGAAGCATGTCGCAATCGCGCTATAAGCCCACATTTTTTAAATTTTTTCTCGGAAGTTCGAGAACTGATTTCAAATCCGAATGTTTGCTAGATTTTTGGAAAAAGGGCTTTGTAGCGTAAATTCTATTTTAAAAAGGCGTCAAATTCCGTTTACAGATCGAAAATCGGACTATTGGTTCAGACGTTATCAGTAAATTTTACTTATTTTGGTGCTGCCACGTGGTGGCTACAAATTGTACTAGTGTCGGCACATTTAGCCTTAAGAAACCGAATAATTGAGAAAATGTAAAAAAAAAAAAAAGAAAGTATATTGGGCGGCGACAGATGGCAGCTGGCAAGAGGATGGGGAAAGACTGTTAAGCCAGTCAACACTGAGGAAATTAGAAAACTTTAGGAGAGGGAAAAAGTCTGTGCGTTTCTACAGTACCATTACGTAGAATTTAATGGAAGTGCCTCAGTGTTTGCTTTGGTGCATGGAGTGATTCAAGGAGCTGATGTCGTGCTTTAGATAGATAAAATTTATGTTGACTATTCCACACGTGAAACCCATAATATTTAACTATAGAGACAAAATGCCCCAATCAGGGCGGTGTATCTCAAAAAGGTTTTCCCCTTTTTTATGGGCCGTCCATAAATTACATAACGGAAATATTTAGTATTTTTGGAGTAACCCCCTCCCCTGTAACGAGCCCTCGAACTCCAAATTTCCCTCTAATAATTACGTAACGCTTGTAACAAGATCCCCTCCCCCATTCGAAAAAGTAAAACCAAATTATAAAGCAGAAACGAGTTGTATTAAGGTGGGCAGAGCGAGATAAGTGCTAAGTTCAACTTGCCTGTTTTATTGTATTAATCGAAAGATGAGAGTTTCTCCTTTGTTCTGGTACAGTTTGAATCGATTTTACCGTCTAGTTTTCGTGTAACGAGGCCATAAAGTTTGTCGTTTTAACACGGGCTCTTATGGCTTCTTAAGCCGCCATCCTGATTGAGGTTTTTCTGGGTTTACTCAATCGCTTAAGGCGTATGCCGAGATGGTCCCTAGGTTTGTTCTCCCAGACGTAAATGTACAGCTTGTCCTCCCCTCTTAAAATGTTACTACTCTAAATGTATGTAAATTCAGTGGTTAGGCGGAAGAGCAGGCCCTATGGTCTGAGCCTCGCCATTAATAAAGACATCATCATCATTATTATTATTATTATTATTATTATTATTATTATTATTATTATTATTATTATTATTATTATGGTAACCTGACAGAGCTGACCTGAAATCTTAACAAAAATTAACTATTGAACATGTTTTTAAAAACTCTTATTTTGGTAGCTAGCATCTCAAAGAACCCATATGCAATATTTGAAAGAAATCTAGTTTCAAATGGGAGAATTATGCAAAATTATAAGACTAAACCGGACCTAAGGGAGACGTTAGCGCGCTTTCTAGAGGTCGGGACCAGAGACCTGGGACTCTGACCGGAGCCTTCTCACGAAGTCGACGCTCTGACGCGCAACTCAACACCGCTCTTCATTCAAATCAAACGACAAGACATGCAAGAGTTCGTACATTCCTCCTTCCTGCTCCTTCTGAGAGCAATTAAAATATTCTCACTCCAGAACATTGCGTTTGAAGGTAACCATATTCAGAAAAACTGGATTTGATGTATATAATTAGTTTATGCGATTAGTGATTAGTGAGATCTGAAATAGATTAATTCAATTAAAATATTTCCAAATACTCACTTTGATACTATTCCCTATGAGAAAATTGATGATCTGCAGAATTTATAGAATTTTTAAGCATTCAGTACAGTATTAGTTTGAATTGTGCTGAATGTCAGTTGAATGTCACCTGAACAATGATTATTTATTCAATTATTCAAAAACTATTCATTTTATCTTTTTTATTATGGAGAAACACAGTGGATTGTTATTTCCTTCTGCACCACAGATGCTTACACAGAACTCAAAGCAGCAATCTTTAGCATAGATCAGCACCTCAATCTGTAGAGCTACTGACTAGGCATTCAATTAAGAAAGAAATAGTCTCTCTAGTGGTTTAAAATGTGTAGTAATGATAAAATACTGTTTAGCTGGTATTAATATCAACCATTCAAGGTATAGGTGAATGCAGAGATGGATTTCCCTATTAGCGAACTAAGGCTTGGGACTCCCATCCCTATGCCTGTATATTTAAAACAATATTAAAAACATCGTAATATGGTTTTATTTGAACAATCATTAATCAAATAGTTTTTTGAATTTCCTGAACAGTTGTAATGCATTTTGAATGATTCTCATGTCTTATTTTTAAAACATTAAACCTTGTTTCCTTTTGAGTGCAACATCAAGACAAATGATTACAAAAGACTATACCACTTGGAAATCTCTTAAATTTTTTATCTCCAAATTATTTAATTTTATTATTGAAGGTCTCAGTAATACAGCTCTCAGATGTAAATGATGAGCAATGTCACTTTTTTATCAGTTTTATGTCTAATTTGTACTTTACTGTTTTTCAGATGTTAATATCGACCATTGAAGGTATAGGTGAATGCAGAGCTATAGATTGTTTTAAATAAATATTAAAAACTTCATAAAATGTTTTATCTGAATAATCATTAATCAAATAGTTTACAGAACTACAAAGTTTGATTTTAAAAATAAATGGAATGGAAAAATAAGAAACGAACCCTGTATGTGTAATTGAAAAATTTAAAAAGCAATTTCTACTTTGTAAGCAATTTGTTAACTTACATCTGTTGGAACAATGATTTATTTAATCATAATTGGTGTTTTTTAGATTTATTTATAATTAGTTTTTTAGTTTTAAAGATTTTTGTGAAGGAGTGCCCAGTATAGTTTTGTGCTTGAAGGCCTACAGTATCTGAATCCGCCCATGGAAAAACTTAATAATAACATTTGTAATGAGTAATTACATTTTTATTGAAATTGTAAGAGGAGTGATTTATTCAGCGTTTGGTAGTTTTAGCATTTTAATAGAACCTTATTTTCCCTTCAGCACTATATTTTATCGAATTGTTGGCATTTCCCAAACAGTAATAATGCATTTTGAATGGTTCTCTTTCTTATTTTCAAAACACCTTTCTTTTAGTTTTGAGTGCAATATCAAGACATACGATTACAAAGACAATTCCACTTGCAAATCTCTTTTGAAGATTTTATCTAAAACAATGTTATAATTTTATTATTGAAGATCTCAATAATTGTGCTCTCAGAATTATGATGCAGTAATTTCATTTTATCAGCAAAGTTTCATATGTAACTTACACAATAATCTACATCTAAATCAATATCATAACATTTTTTT